CACTGGCTTTGCCAAAGATGCTGCGGAACCAGCTGCAAAGAGGCAACATTCTGAAAACTATGAGGAGAAATGAAGGTAGGGGTATTGCTACTGCTCGTCACCATTATTCCGGGAGGATAAAATCCCAGCACCAGTTTGCTCCACGGACACCAGGCTAGTCAGGCCATGAATGGTTGCCCCCTAGTCAGGTGCCCTCCTTTGACTCAAAGCCCCGTCCTATCTTGGAGCCACAGGGTAGTGAACTTGGTCTCCTATGGCTGCTCCCTCTTTGGATGAAAGGATGTCCCTCAGAGGGGGCTTGTGGCCATAATGGAATCTAAGAAATAAGCTATTTTCCAGTTCAATAACTGCAAAGGTCACAACACAAGTAGGCGCTTTCCACACGTTCTGCCTCCTTTCCCTATACCTACAGTGCGGGGATGTGAAGTGGCAGGTTCAGTTCTTCTTTACTTTTTTTAATTTGCAAGAACGTGTGTGTACTCTCCAGAGGCAGAAAGCGCTCCCATGGGGCGTAGTCGAGCCGCAAACCCTCCTCTTTTTCCACCTGCCCGGATTCCGGGCTCTCACACACCAGCTCCCGGCATGTCCCCCCTTCTCCTGCCGTGGGCCACGTGGGGTCTGGCTCCCGTTACCACGAGGCCACAGAGCCCGCGCCAAGCTCAGCTCTAAACAGCCTGATTACCAACGCTACGGCCGACTTGGAAATCTGTTCTTTGAAAGTTCGACTGTATTTCTGCTGTTTGGATTTTTCCGTTTATTCGCCTATTATCCTCCTGCCCTGGGTCATAACCAAGAAACGTCCTGCCCATCTCCAGCTGTCGTTAAGGAGCAACAAGGAAGTAGTTCTGGACGCGGCCTGCGGGATCCACAGGGTGGGCCCGGCGGGAGCCTACGAAGAGGCCTGGCCAGGCGGTGTCGCTCCAACTCCACCGTTTCTGCTCCAGCCAGCGGCTCCTTCCGGTGCTGCCCAAGCGCCTCAGGGATTGGTTTCCGCAAAGGAAGCGGGTTTCCCTCCCGGTGTCGTCTCTAATCACCTCCGCCCGAGTCGTTTGGGAAGAAGGGAGAAAAAGGTCCGGCGGAAAGAAGAATCGGGAGAGTCTGGTCGCTCAATGCTCCCCGGGCCAGAATCCTCGGGAATGTTTGTTAGAGCAGTTCGTGGGCTGATAAACCCAGGGTCCGGGTGTGTGTTGCTGCTCTGGGAGGTGGGGACCAGAGGGACTGAACGAGGCTTTTCCTGAGTAGATTCCGGTAATGCGGGCCCCCTCCCACCAACTCTCCATCCCACCTTACTCTGCACCAAAACTCCCACAGTGCCGCAGGGATGGGGGACGTGGGGTGGGGGGAGTGGCAGTGAGACATCCTGGAGTGCGCTTGTTGACTGGGAACGATGAGGGACCGCATGCAAGGGGAGAGTCATTTACGGATAGGGCCTCAAAGATTTGCAGGTAGACCGGGAGCGTCAATCAGCTTCCCACATGAGGTCTAGGGAGATCCTAGCCATCCAGATGAACAGGTGTCCCCTTCTCACAGCCCACGCGGATGGGCCTGGTGGATTCTTTCTTATGGTAGTGGCAGTGAGGGGGGCGGGTCCCTGTACTGGCAAAGCAGTCAGTGACGCTGACGTCACGAGCACTGTTGTGGCAATTGTGCACAGAGGGGCTGCTGGTACAGGGCACTGATGGAGTGCTGCAGAATTCTGCTATGGTGGCCAGATCTTCATGAATAAAGGTGTTGATCTGCTTGCATTTACCCCTATGGATCAACCACCGTCGCCTCATCATTACATCACAGTATCTGTGGTGTCCTCCAGGGACCCACGACCTGGGGTTGTCTATATGTCGCGTTGAGAAGGGCCGAGCTGGAGTGAAGACAGCGAGATCCAGGAGGAAGAGGAGGAAGGTCCACATCAGATTCATGTCCCCTGTGAAAGCAGGTCAACGAAGAACAGGGTCAGAGAGAAGCCATGGTCCCTTTGCCCCGAGGTACCTGCTTCTAAGAATTGAACCAAACACTTGATGTGGTCAATTCTTCCCTTCTTCCTCTACACAGTTCTGTGTATTTATGGAAATATCCTCCTTGTTCCTCACACCCCTACCTTTATCTGAATAAGAGTGAAGAGAGGAGAGGAGTGAGTTGTCAATGAATGAAGAAGTGGCTACCACCCCCTTTACCTCTTTATTTTTTTTAATTTATTCATTTATTCTAAGTTGACCACAGAGAAACAGAGAGAAAGAGAGAGAGAAAGCAAGCCACCATGTCCGGGACTCGAACCATGGTTGACCATGTGGGAGTGTCCAACACCTTAACCACCATGCCACCTGCTGTCCCCCCCCTTTACCTCTTTATGGGCTTGTTGTACAAGGTTATTTCCAAACTCTGAAGTAATTCTTGCCCCTTATCTAAGCAGACCAGATAACCAAACCTTCATCTCTAAATGGTTTACAGCCCATCTCATTACAAGTCCTCGGAGGTGAAGCAGGTATAACCGTCAACCCCTTTCTATTTTACAAGGAGCTCATCTTGAAGGGACCTGACAGATCCATATGCCTTACATCTTGAAAAATAATTTCACTTATTTAAATAGGTATATGTTTTAAACACTTGTTTTTAATGTAAACATTTCAATTCTCAGGGAGTGGGGTTCATGCTTCCCCCACATAGTTCTCTGCCTCACAGTAAAGATTCCTAACTCTCTCTTGCGTGGAGCCCATCTCTGAGAAACTTCCCAACTCCTGGTGCTCAGAGTTTCTGAATAAATGAGTGTGAGCCTTCTGTCTCTGAGTCTAACAGTCTGAACTTTTCTTTGAATACCTGGGAATGCCAGGACAGGATTTTCTACAGAGCAGATGACATCCACATGGACAAGCATGTCCCTTTCAGAGGTGCATATTCCTAGCATTAAAAGGACCTTCCATTGTCTCTCTCCTTTCTCTAATCCTGTAGAGATGACATGGTGGATATTTTCTTCCCAGACCTTAGGACAGATGCCATGTGGGAAATTCTCAGGCTGAATGATCTTAAACAGATTGCCAAGGAGGACTAATTTCATGTGTACTATTTCACACTTAAAATGTTTACCAGCATCACACAAAGTGCCTATGACATCACTGCAATTATACAGAAACCTGCAGTTGCAGTGCAGTCTATCACAAGCTTGCTTTTGGAGCTTGGCAAATCACTCTAAGTAAGGATTTGGACTGAAGATGGCTTTCAATTCTGACATTCTCTTTCAGTCCCTAATTATGTATATCTTGTGTGTAGGCGTCCATGTGTGATTTTGTGTATATTGGTTCACACATGTTCGTGTACAGAGAAACAGTTTGCAAACTGAGTCTTCATTTGAGAAGTGTTAATCCAATTAATTTTAACATTTCTTAAAAACACTTTTAAGTGGGGCTGGCAGGTGGTGTGAGGGTTGGAGGTGCTGGATTCTCACATGGCCCACCACGGTTTAAGTCCCAGACCTGGCGGCTTCCTTTCTTGCTTCTCTCTCTCACCGGTCAAATTAAAAACTAATAATAACAAATGGAATTAAACAAATAAATAACCCTTGAAAAAACAGTTGTAAGTAAAATTAGATCTAAAAAATTAATCACTTTCATGTTAAGATTACGTTGTTTTATATCTTTACCATTACAATCATGAGTGTTTTCATTGTGGAAGATGCTGTCTGGAGCACAATACAGAAAGGGAAGAAATTAGTTCATACAACGGGCTTCCAAAGTTCATGGAAAAGTAGAATTTAAAGGTAATAGGATTTCTTTGCCAACTTTTCGAGGCATCCTCATACATTCTCTCGGAACTTCAAAATCAGCTAAGGTTGGGAACCTGCTAGTGAAGGTAAAGATTTATTTTTGTTTGGGGCCAGCAGGTGGTGTGGCTAAGGGCGCTGGACTCCCACATGGCTGACTGCAGTTTGAGTCCCGGACCTGGTGGCTTGATTTCTCACTTTCCATCTCTCTCTCTCTCTTTCTATCCCCTCTCTGGTCAAATTAAAATAAAGTTAAATAAAATAATTTCTTTTTAAAAAAAGATTTACTTTTGTCTGATGGCCTTCAAAGGAAATATGAAAGAGGCCCCATAACAAGAAGAAGGAAGGCATCAGACCACTTCACTGAATCGAAGAGACCAGAGAGAGCCCAACACAGCAAATGTCTTTTGAACTTAAGAAAGTTAACTCTCACCCCATTCACTGCAATTAAATTGAACTACACCATGTGATTATGACAATCCTTAAAGTAGTATTCATTGTCCTTCCCATAGACAGGTGCTGTATGAGGAAAAGCACGTACAGGAAAGTATTGGTGGCTTACCCTCCCTGTCCGCAGATTAAGCAGAAACATTACAAGAGTACTCCAGGGATGGAGAAATTGCATGTGTTGGGCATCATATTTTTGCACATGACTCTTACACAAACGAGACACTGATCCACCCTAAAACCAATATACTCAACAGTGGTTTTTACCAAAAATGTAGAAGGTTCTTCTGAGACAATATTTTACAATGTTCACTTTTTTAAAAATTACTTAATTCGAGCATCCCCTTGGCACACCGGTTAAGTGCTTTGCTTAGAAAACCAGATCCCATATAATTGATGGTCGTTTCAATTCTGCCCCAGCTGTTTGAAAAACAGGCAGGGTGCCTGTGCAGACATGTCTGAAATCCTGACAGGATGAAGGAATGGAAGAAAAAAGAATTGCAGTGTGGCCACACCCCATGGGATGTTCTCTCTCCCTCTCCCTCCCTCTCTCTTTCTTCACCCCTTTGATGAATATATGTGCCAACTGGCAATTTAAAAAATGACTTAATGATACCTAGGGCATAATTCTGGCCATTGCTCTCAGTGGAAGATATGGATCAGCTCAGGAAATTTGCCACTAAATTGGGCTAGAAGGAAAGGCTAATAAAACAACAAAGAACTCATGAGAAGTGTTTTTTATCTGTTAAAGACAAAATCACATGGCTGGATCCACATGGCCAACTTCACGGTTTGAGTACTGGACACAGTAGCTAGCAAAACAGGCCAGGTGCATGTACACGGGTGTCCACAATCCTGAGAGGAGAAAGGATTGCTGCGTGATTATCCTGTCTGGGGGTGTTCTCACTTTCCCTCTCTTTTTTCTCTCTGCTTCTCTCTGGTAAATGCATGTGCCCTGTAGAAGAAGAGGAGGAGGAGGAGGAGGAATGATAACCTCATAACAGACTGTTTTGTAGAAAGCAGCACAGAAAGACTTTCCTCTGGGTGTTCTTGGTTTATGCGGCTTTACACAATGAAGACAATAATTAGCACAAGAATTTAAAAAGAGGAAGTGAATGAAATGCTAGAGAAATAAATCCTCAAATATACATGATAAACTATTACCTATTGGATTTTGAGCATAAAGAAATTCATAGCTCAGGTTTCCAGCATAGAGTGGTGATAGATGGAGAATATTTGTCTAAAAGGGAGTCAGGGATATTACCAAAAAGTATAGGGAAACTGGGTTCCTCTATTTTTTCTGAGTACAAGACCTGCCTTTATGGTCCACGGTCTGTCAGTGCCCGGTGAAGCAGAGTTACAAAATCTTTGGTCATCCTACAACTAGTATATATTTTTCACCAATGGTTTCACATCCAACCAGCAAAACCCTGCACTGCACAGAACTGGGTCCCTTGCAGTAGAAGCACCAGGGCCACCCGTCCTTGGGTACTTGGTCAGCTAAGCAATCGAATGTTGTACAAACAGGTCATTTGCAATCTATGGGTTTCTGCATGGCCAAGACTCAGAACCCTCTGGTTCTGCTGGCCCCACCCACAGGGACTGCTCTATATCTGCAGTCCCAAGGAAGGGGCACGAGCCATCCCTGAGCCCAGGACAACCAGCTGGATCTGTTCTCATAGAAGCTACAGCACCGAGGCTGGGTAAGACTGACCCCTGGAGCTGGGCAGGAGGGGCAGTCATGGGGCAGCAACTGAGGGAGGTGGCTGAATTAGTGCAGGGTGCTTGGTATACTTTGGGGATAGGAATAGAAAGGAAATGGGAGCCCAGAATGACGACAGAGAGCCCCGCAGAGTGAGACACAAGAGTGAGTCATTGCTGGGCCAGGATGTACTTCATTCTCTTCTCTTCTTAGGAAACATGTTTCCAAAACACCGTGATTCACAACTTTGTCTTCTGCTGGGCCTCTTGAGTATGGTAGGCTCATTCCATGCTGTACTCGGCCAGTTTACCCCAGCTCAGTGGTTTGAAGTCCAGCATATAAATATGACTCACCGCAGATGCGACGATGCAATGAAAGCAATTAACAAATATTCACTATTTTGCAAAAACAAAAATACTTTCCTCCATACAACTTTTGCTGATGTGGCTAATAATGTTTGTCGC